TAAAAAGGTATCAAGACAAACCAACCATTTCATTTAAATCCCATTATTTTAAATACAATTAGAAGTAACAGAGAATCTTTTACCTGCTCTGCTTTACACAAGCAGGGCGTCCTATAAAGACTGATCTCTGTCGGACACACACAACTATACTTCCTAAGCAGTCTTCAAGGGGAGCCCCCAGGTAATACTATAGTCTGCAGTAAGGACTCTGAAATTCAGTAGTAGCTTCTTGTGAATAGAAAGGGGTTTTGCTCAATCAAGATGAAAAAGAAAATAGATTTAACTTCTCAAGATTCTCAAACATTGTATTATTATGATCTCTCAAAATAGTAAAATGGCTGCAGTGGTGCAGTGGTAAAAATGTAGTAATGCAGGCCAATTCTGCCAACTGCCAGCAGTTAATCCTGACCGACTCATGGTTGTCTCAGCCTTCCATCCTTCCAAGGTTCTTGAAATGAGGACCCAAATTGTTGGGGGCAATAGGCTGACACTGTAAACCAGGGGTCCCCAACCACCAGTCCCTGGACCGGTCCCGGTCCGTGGATCATTTTGGACCGGGCTGCCTACTTTGCTTGGGCGCCATATTGTTTTGAAGTTTGCCCTCAGCAGTGCCAATCAGCGGCCTGAGGGAGAAAGGAACACGGGGTGGGGAGAAAGCTTGCCCCAGAGGCTCCGCCACGAAGCGCCTCTTTCCGCCTGGGGAAAGGGAGCAAGAGCGAAAGTGAGAGAGAGGAGTGTGAGCCGAAAGCTGGAGTGGGGTGGAATGAAGGGGCTCAGATCCCGATCCAGACCCCTCACGGGAGCCCCCAAAAGCAGCCCTGTGCCTGTCCGGGGTGCCGGAGGGGCGCCGGGGCCATGGCTCGGCGGCAGCGGACCTGTCAGCCGGGGGAGGGGGAGGGTGCGTGACGAAAGGCGCTGGGCGGAGGCGAAGGCAGTCACTGCCCGAAACAACCGGGAGAGGACAAGAGAAGAGAGCGAAAGAGACGAGAATCCTAAAACACACAGGGCAGAATGTTGCTTTAGCCAAGCTACACAGTGAATATCTACTAAAAGTTTGACTGGTTTAATATGGATTTATTCCCAGGTAATTGAAAGTCTTATTTCAGCTGGAAGAATTCTAGACAATGCTCTGCTTGCCAAGGGGTTGCAGCAAAATGGGGCGAGAGAGATCCGGAAAGAAGTGGGCTCTCCAGTTATTTGGAGTGAATCCCCGGAATTCCTTATATGCGTGGATTTCTGAACCTCAACAACTTTAAAATGTGTGGACTTGGACTCTCTGAATTCCCCACACACCTTACAATTGTTGAGATTGTGGAAAGCTGAAGACCATATGGGAGATCAAACCCATCCTAGATGTAAAATCTGAATTGCGGATTATTACCTTACAAAACGCTTTTGGAGAAAATATATATTTTTGCCACACATATTTTTGTTTGATCATGATCAACTGAATCATGATGACTTTATTGGAGTCTAGTCTTGCATTTACACACATTTTTAGTAATCCTCCAACATTGGTTAATTTTGGTGAGTTGATAGTGTAATAGTAAATAAATAATAAATAAATAAAAAATAAATAAAAAACCCTAACCGGTCCTTGAAAAAGTGTTCCTGCGTGAAACTGGTCCCTGGTACAAAAAAGGTTGGGGATTGTAAACCACTTAGAGAGGGCTGTAAAGCACTATGAAGCAGTACATAAGTCTTAAGTGCTATTGCTGATATAAATTTGGCTTTGCCTGTTTTCCCCAATGTAATCCTCCCATCTCCCATGTTGAAGAACCTACATATTTGAAATCATTGATGATCAAGACAGCTAAGAAGTATATTGTATAATGGTTGGATTAATTTTAAATGGATTATTCAGAGGACAAGCATTGGATGTATTTAGATTTCTAACTATGGCACCAACATATTAGACCCTCTAGAGGGCAGTGTTTAGCTAGAGAAGAAGGTAGGGTTGTTGCAAGAATTAAAACAATGCTACTAGTATTACAATGGGTCGATTGGCACTAGCAATTTTACTTTTGGTTATGGATTGATTTTGTTACCATTGCAAAAGATACATGCAAAATATGCATTTGTACACTGGTAGGTACCCATTTGTAGGTAATGAAATGAAAACAAGAGACCAGAATAACAGAGTTGGAAGGGATCTTGGAAGTTTTCTAGTTCAACACTCCTGCTCAAGCAAGCAACCCTCAAGCAAGTGGTTCCAGACAAATGGCTGTCCAGTCTGTTCTTAAAAACCTCCAGTGATGGAGCACCCATAATATCTGTAGGCAAACCGTTGCGCTGGCCAATTGTTCTCTGTTAGAAAATTTCTCCTTAATTCCAAGTTGCTTCTCTGCTTGGTTCTCTCTCTCCGTCCATTATTTCTTAGCTTGCCTTCTGGCACTTTGGAAAAGAGGTATAAAACAGTACCTCTACAGCACACTGTCAATACCACAATGAAATCTAGGGATAAAAGAATTATATTTTTCAATATTAGTATGAGAAACTATGGAAATAAATTATTTCAAAGAAAGTCTGCCTTAATTAACTCAGTCCAATAGTAATTGGGAATTCACTCTTGGAAGTTTTCAAAATTCTGCTTTTAACCCAAACTAGGTATCTTTCTGAAATATGTGAGAATTTATTCCTTCATCTACGTCCATGAGGTTTCACAACTATAGTACAATGTTGTTTTCTTAACATTTTGGGGGCAAATCCAATATAATTAAAATGTTTATGTTGTTAATAAAAAGTATCTGCATAGTTTAAGTTCCTGTACTTACCATTTCTTACAAAAAATTGATATTAAGTATGTCATTTTGAAGTATATTGTGAGCCTGAAACAAATCATAACCTACTTAAGAATTCTCCCTCCCCTACTCCAATCTGCTAAAATAAATGTGTATAAGTTACAAGTAGTATGACATGTGTTGCTTTTATGCCATATATTTATAATGCACAAAGAAATATATTCCATATATTAAAGATGCATTTGCAAGGATAATCTAATCTTTCAAAATTATGCAAATTTTCTGGGTTAAAATTGGAAACACAATCATTGATATCCTGCCCTTGAATACTATTCATTATTAGATCATTTTTTTTTATTTATTCTAGGAATTCTGATACAAGCAAGTACAGGTAACCCTTGACGTACAGTATGACCACAATCGAAAAGCAACAATTCTGTTGTTAAATGAAGCATTTGTTAAGTGAATTTGCTCCATTTTACAACCTTTCTTATGTTGGTTTTTAAGTGAATCACTAGTTGTTAAATAAATTAGTGTTAAGTGAGTCTGGCTTCCTCATTGATTTTGTTTGTCAGAAGATTGCAAAAGAGCAACCCAAGGACACTGCAACTTCCATAAATAGGAGTCAATTGCTAAGCATCTGAATTTTGATGACGATCGTGGGGATGCTGGGTTCTGAGTATGAAAACTGGTCAAAAATCACTTTTTTGCAGTGTTATTGTAACTTTGAGCAGTCACTAAACAGCTGTAAGTCAAGGAGTACCTGTAATGTATTTTAGTGATCCGATTACAGATAAGGCTCTAGCTAGCTTGAATGCGTGTCAGACAAGGGTTCTCTTAAGAAATAAAAATTGATAGTTTTTTGGCCTTGGAACCACATACCGGCCATATCACTTGTTTGGTCAGATGGGCAGTTGTATATATTTGATAAATGAATAAGCAAATAAATTCACTGACCCACCACTGGCAAGTGGCAAAAACTTTTAATGTCATCAAGAGCGGTGGGTTAAATAGCTTTTGACCTTTTTTGAGTTTCATTTACACACCGTACACTTTAGCCGCCAGCTCTACCTTCTTGTTTTTAATTTTAAAAAAATTATCACTGTTTTGTTCATGATCCTGCCCAATTTTGGCATATATAGAAGTTCTGGAGCTCCAAAGGGAGTGCTTAGAAGGCCACCTGAAGCCAGCAGGCTTCCCGATTACCTTTCAAGAAAAAAAATGCTGCCACTATTTAGAAACCAATCTTGTACCACTATTCAGGAAACAATCTTTACTACACATTATTATATACACAGCTTAAAATGATAGCTGGCAGTTTTTTTTAGCTAGTATTGGCCTTCAATGCAGATCAGCTTTTTGACAAGAACTTAGGGTTTCATAATGTATTGCTATAATATAAGCGCAGGTCCAAATAGTATGGCATTTTGTAATTGACTTACAGAGATTTCGTGCATATTTTCTAATTGTCATCTAAGGCTTTTTGGTACACCACCAATGTGCTGATAGTCAATGGCATGGCATGGTATTGTGTTATTATGATTGCTCACACACTCAGCCACCTATTTAGATTGGGTGTGGCATTTTTGTCCATCTGTTGAGTCTTTCCGAAGGACTTGGGACAGACAGATATTGTTTGACGGTGTTAAAGGTATCCACAGGACTTTAGCTGTCCCTAGAAAAGCTGCATTTTGCACCTGATTGGTGGTGATTTTAATCTACAGTATGTCAGTGGTATTCGAGTGGCACTCTTATATTTTAGTATTGCACCCAAACGCCTTCCTTTTGTCACTTCTTGTTGTTGTTTTCCTCGTCCTCTAATCACACTCTGGACAACAATCAACCCTCTAACAATCAATATAATTTAAACCAGATAAGCACATAATACAAACAAAAAGGGAATTTTAATCCTTTTCTATAATCTTTCTGAAACTTGCTGGACAATTTCAAGATCCATGTAAAAGCCATTTTATCAAAGCCGTGTCAGAAATCGATGTTATTATTAAATACGTACTGTTGCTTGATGAATAGTCATTATTACCATGGGTCCCTCCCAAATTATGTGGCAAAATATTCTGATGGTTTGAGGAGAAATACCTCCAATGCATTCCAACACAGCATATATTACAACTATGTAAACATTATTAAAAGAAGCAGCTCGCTTTTTTGAAAAACTTTTTAAAAATAGATGAACGTCTTTATTTTTTTACATTTACACAAAACACTTATTTTGTAATAGTAAAATGTCAATAATGAAAACAGGAAAACATATCAATGAATAACCTGACTTTCATATATTGTCTTAAATAAACAAGGGCTTTCTGATACTGTACAGTACACCTGCTTTTTATCACCTCCCCCCTCAACTTATAATTATTCCTTTAATCATAAACCCCCTCATTTGGTATATTCACTCTGCATTTAAGACATATAAAAGAAACTATTTAAGCTTACTGTTTGCTAAAGTCGTTCTTCCATAAAAATAGCATTTATTATATAAGTGATGGTATTCTGATTATCTTTTATATAAATACAACCAGAAAAGAAATACGGATTATTACAAAGAGGTGACCTATTAGTATCTTATTACATAATGATAAAATGTTCATTCATTATATTTACAGTTCCCATTGACTTGATGAGCTTTGCAAGAGAAGACTTCAAGTAGGGTTCATTCATTCAAATTCTCTTTGAGTGTGGAATTCAAAATCCTGTTGTTGATGCTTGATTTAACGGCAAGTTCCTTCTATAATATTGAAAGAGATAAGAAAATTGTGCAGTAGAGCTAACAAAACATCAATTCATAAATGTTTACATTTCAATGCATTTCTCCTTCATGCTTCAATAAAGCTGTAATTCCAATAATCCTGTTGTTTTGGTGATCCCAACAACCAATTATGTGTGAATAAAGCTCACATTATATATTGTGCTAAGCTCTGGCTTGCTTAAATACAGGTAGTCTTCACTTATTAACCACAATTGGACTCAGCAACTCCATTGCTATGCCATGTCATCATCAAGTGACCATACCAACTTACAATGTCAGCTCTGGCTCTGGTTGTAAAGCAAATCACCTGTGGTCTTTAATAAACCTAACATTTGTCAAGTTACTGTGACTTGTAATTTCCTGTCAGCTTCCCCACTGGTTTTGCTTCTTGAAAGCTGGCTGGGAAGGTGGCAAATGGCGACCACAGGGAGACTGTGATCCCCATAAATATGCACCAGTTGCAAGCACCTGCATTGCCGCACATGACCATAGAAATGCTGCGGTGGTCATAAGTGTGAGGACCAGTTGTAAATCTTCCTTTTTGAGTGCCATGGTAATTTCAAATGTTGCTGAGCCGATGGTTGGGTTGGTAGGAAAATATTACCTGTAGAGCTTATTGAATCAATCAAAATTGACTGAGTTTACAGAACACATTCCCCTGGGGCCAGACATTCTGCCTCACCTGACTAAAACGTTTTAATTAAAAAACAAAACAGAAAGTTGCAAAGTAGGATCGCCTTTACTTTCAATAATATTCCCAAAGAGAATAGGGCAAAGATAGGAAGCAGGAATGTTAGGACATGGGCAAGGACAGCTTTTGGTAAGCCAAGGCTTTGTAACTAATTATATCCCACCAGACGGCCATGAAAAGGTAATCCACCCAGTGCCCATTTTGCAAGTATACCCACACCACGTTCTCAGAATTGATATATGACAAAAAAGGACGTGCTCTACACAAAGCAAATCAAGTAATCCATGCTATAGTTTGATGTAAATGTTGCCAACTGGTGGTCCGTGAGAAAATTTTGGTGGCCCGCAGAGAAATGTCACCCCCAGAGCACCCCCCCCAAAAGCAATTAATCCAGGCTGTGCAGGAACGCAAGGCTGCGCCGCCCACATGGCCTGCGGGAACCCTCCCTGCCCACTCACTCCTTACCCATCAAACTTGCCTGCTAAGTTGCTATATTTCCTCCTCCCCGACCATCAGCTGTTCCGGGAGATTTAGATTAGCTAGAAAGCAGGAAATGGGTGGGTTTCTTGCTTTCTAGCTAGTCTTTAGATCTTTGGCTCTGCTTTTAAGCAGAGCCAAACCTTCCTTAGGACTGAAGTTTCTATTATTCAGTGCAGACTCATGGCAAGCAAATTTTATGTGACAGATTCAGGTAACCGATGGCAGATAGATAGATCTCTGAATGATTCTGTGAGCAACTCAATCTGCCTGCCTGCTTTGCCTGATTATATTTACATACAAGCCATGCCCAGACAGTCACATGACCACCAAGCCACACCCACAAATTAGGCCACACCCACAGAACAGATTGTTAAATTTGAATCTTACCCTGCTGCTGTGTTTTTTTGGGGGGGGAGAGGTTAGATCAGATCTCTCTCTCTCATCAACGTCAGCAAGTCACCGTCAATTAAAATTCATATTAGTGGTCCCCTGGATTTAAAATTATGAGTTTGGTGGTCCCTGAGGTCCAAAAGGTTGGCGACCCCTGGTTTAGTGTGATATGTGAACTCAGTGACTTGCTCTGTCAGCACACCTAAAGCTGGATGGTAGGGAATTTGTGATCAGCAGCCCACCAACCAGCAACACTTACTATTAGCCATGCTGGTTGGGCTGCTGTTAAGTACCAGGAATATCTGGAGCATTACTGGTTTGCTTTCTTGACCTGAAATTACTTTGATGTTTAAAATATTTTTTTATTTAACAGTGATATCTTATGCATATTTATTCCAAAGTAACTCCCACAAGGTTTAGTGGAAGTTACATGCCTACATATGCTAAAGTCAATGTGGGATTTCTTGGTGGAATTAAAACTGCTTGGTGGAATTAAATTCAAGATGAACTGTTTTCAACTTTGCTTTCTAAAACTTCAATCATGATGGTTCCCATAATACTATCTGGCAGAATTAAACTGTAATAGTGCTAACCATTACTCATTATACTTTACAATACTCCAAACAGTAATAAAATTATTGAACGCAGCACTATTCTCATCAGTTCTTTCTAGCTTAAATTTCTAGCAGTGTGTAATTCAATATATTAAACATTTTCTAAAGATTTTCTGAAGATTTCATCACCGAGGGACAGGTGATCGTATTGTGTCCTTTATATGTACATTATTTGACAAGGCACTGAAGAGAATTCCACAGAGAACCAATTATCCAAAGCAAATGATTGGGAAGCAGAGAAACGGAGATGCGAGTCAAAAGAGCATCAGGTAAACAAACCAAAGGACTCGTCTCTAAACAAATAGTTGGATTTAGGAGAAAAACTTGAAGAAAAAGATGACATAATTCACAGAAGCGGTTCAAAATGAGGACTGCAGAGAATCATGAGAGTGAAGAACAAAAATCATAAACTAATAAAGACATGACTGAATCATTAAGTACGATAAACTAGGAAAATCTGCATGTTTGAAACAGGGAACCACTAGCTACACTCAATGGGGTGAATAAAAAATCTTAGATTTAGATAGAAAAGGGATCGCTTAAAGATTGGTAGTTTTATAATGACTCAAAGTTATTAACGGCCATGAGATGGATGCTTTACAGCTTGTTTACCACTTAGAGACCGCTGCCGGTGCCTCGCACGCCCCCCTGGCACCTCTTAGTGCCCCCAAGGGGGCCAGCAGAGGGGCGCTAAAAGGCAGCAGTAAGAGGTACTGGCACCCCAGGGCTGCTGAAAGGCAGCAGTACAAGCAGTTCGAGGTACTGGCACCCCAGGCTCACCCCATTGGCTGTTGAACCACTTTGGAGCCGGCGCCTCGAATGTGGTGGCGGCGGCTTTGCTTTACTTTCCCAACGTGTTGCCACATTCAAGCCGTTTGGCTCCAAAGAGGTGCAACAGAGGTGAGCCTGCTGTGCCAGCGCCTTGAACATCCCCCACCGCCTTTTAGTGCTCCTCTGCCGGCCCCCTTGGGGACGCTAAGAGGCGCCAGGAGGGCGTTCGAGGCACCGGCACCCCAGGTTCACCCCATTGACTGTTGCACCGGAGCGGTGCAAGGGGCTAAATGGGGTGAGCCTGCGGAATCTGTGTGTTGAACCCGGTGACGGCAGCACGTTGGGAAACTAGAGCAAAGCCAGAGTGGCTCTACTTTCCCAAAGTGCCGCCGCTGTTGCATTCTGTCTGTCTGTCTAACTATCTATGTACCTACCTACATATCCATCCATCCAAAAGGTCTGTCTGCCTGCCTTCCTGCCTACCTACCAATATATCTACCTACCTATCTACCTATCCATCCATCCAAAAGGTCTGTCTGTCTGTCTTCCTGCCTGCTTGCCTACCTACCCTGTTTCTCCAACAATACGGCCTCCCCCAATAGGAAGTCCCAGCATGTTTTATAGGCATGAAATGAAATTAAGCCCCTCCCCCCAAATTAAGGCCTATATTAAAACATGCAAAATGGGGGGAGGGGGGGGCTTGCTGTTAGTAAGTACTTTTGTTGCATACCCAGATATGGTGCTGCCTGCGTTGACCCCGATACCAAGTGCCCCACGAATGCTGAGGTCAACAGCCAAGCTGTCGCCGCCCACCCGCCTGAAGATGCAAGGGGAGGGGGGAATTAAGTCACTCAAAAAAAAAAAAAAAAAAGACCCGGCCTTATTATATGAGAAACACAGTACCTATCTACAATATATCTACCTACCTACCTATCCATACATTCATCCAAAAGGTCTTCCTGCCTACCTATCTACCAATATATCTACCTACTTATATACCTACCTATCCATCCATCCATAAGGTCTGTCTGTCAGCCTGCCTACTTGCCTGCCTACCGACCAACCTACCTATCTACCAATCTATCTACCTACTTATCTACCAATCTACCAACCTATCTACCTATACATACATACATACATCCAAAAGGTCTGCCTGACTACCTATCAATCTATCTACCTACCTACTTGTCACTCTCTCCATCCATCCATCCATCCATGTTCAAAGAGAGAGAGAGAGACAGAAACAGAGAGAGAGAGAGAGAGAGAGAGAGAGAGTTGATGCCTCAGTTTGAAATGAGGCCTAGTTTAGACTGAGGCCCTTTTCCACATTGAAACATCTTTCCCAGCACCTTGAAACATCTTTGGCTTCTATTAAAAGGTTTTGTGGATGAAACATGGTCAAGACTTATCAGGAAGCTCTCACATTTTGTTGAGGCTTTAAACAGGATCCATTGGACCAGATCTCCACCCTAAAAATTACTTTTCCCCAATGTATTACTGTGCCAATTCTGAAGAAGGTAAAATCAAAATGTACTGGTAAATTACAACACACACACACACACACACACACACACACACACACACACTCCCTTCTAACCCTGCTGGAGGAGGTGATTGGACTAGAATAGATATCTCATCTTTCTCCTCCCTCCTTCTTTATTTCTTTTTCTTTCTGTCCCTTCCTTCCATCCCCCCCCCTCTTTCTTTGTCTGTCCTTTCTTTCTTTCCCTTTTCTCTTTCTTTTCTTCCTTCTCTCTTTCTTTTCTCTCTCTCTTTCCCTCTATCAGGCTTACCCCATGGACTTGCTGTACCACTCCACTTGGACTTGCTTGGGCAGGTCCCTCCAATGCAGCGGGCTCAATGGGTGGACCTGCGGGGCCCGCACCTAGAGCACAGCAGTGGCAGCATGTTTGAAAACTAGAGCAAAGCCAGAGGTCGGTAATTTTTGCTGCAAAGAATCACAAAAGCTTCTGGGTTGTGCACAAGAAGGGGCACACATGTCAATGCAATTCAACAACATAAAATAAATAAAAATAAAACAAATCAACAAGAATCAGCAAAGCATCTCTGATTAGATTTTATTCACTACTAGAATCTAATCAGAGGTGCTTTGCCGATTCTAGTCCAATGACCTGCTCCAGGAGGGTTAGAAGGGAATGTGTATGTGTGTGCATGGCTGTCAAAACTCCAAAAACAGGTCAAGCAGCTCTGGGGAGGCCAGTCATAAATTAGAACACTTGCTAAACAACCGGCTATTAAATGAGGACCACTTGTATTTGGTTTGCCAGTCACCTGGCCACGCCCACCCAGTCACATGACCACCAAACCACACCTACCCGGTCACGTGACCAGCAAGCCCCGCCAGCCAGTCACGTGACCAGCAAGCCCCGCCCTCAAATTAGGCCATGCCCACAGAAATTTGAATCCCAACCCTGGGTAGGTAGCACCGAGGATGAGTTTGTAGCCCAAGGGGGCGGTGGACTGAAAAAGTTTGGGAATCACTGGAGTAAATCAAGCATTTCAAAAGAAATTGGCATGAAAAATGTGATAAAAAGAATGTAGATAATTGAATTTTACTGCAAGAAAAGAAACTAAGGGGTTTTTTGGGGTGGGGTGGGGGGAAGTATCCAAGAAAAGAGGAGAGCAGAATTTTCATCTGGAACTCGTTAGAATGGATTCTTTTTTCAGGGAGAGCAAAGCATGATTTTGAATGAGCAGATAGATGTATATTTTAACCATCATATTGGCTGAAATCCTCCTAGGAATTAAAAGGTTCCCGGGGGGGGGGGACACACCCTAACCTTGCCTCAGATGCATGGGTATGTTTCACAATAAGCTGGAATGGAGAACTGTTCAAAGAAACCATTTGAAATGCATGGGATAGCAAGAAATTCAAAATATAGTACCTTGATTGCCAACTGGGATATAGGAAACTGAGAATATTTCACGAGTATTAAACGAGCCCTCTTTTTCCATATTTGTTTTTAGGTGCAGTTAGAAACAGAATTTAAACAAAACTTCTATTTTGAAAAAGGGACCAAAGAAAGGGGCTTGTACCCCAAGTTAGAAGACTTATGTAAAATATGGTTTATTAGCGCATTGTTGCAAATGAAGACTTCCTGATAAAAAAGCAAAACCAAATTTAGTTGATTAAAAAGTTAAATTAGGCATCATAGATTTATAGTTTGTTAAATTACAGGTGGACACAGAATCAGCATTATGGGTTGAGGAAGAAAAAGGTATTAGTAACAGAAATGATATCAAGGTTTCCTATGGTCAGAGATAATATTATTTTTAACTGAGCTGAGAATAAACAAAATTTAGCTATTTATATAGGATTAAGACAAGCCTGAATTTAAGAAAGAAAAAGTAGCTGAAGAGCAAGTGCAATTAAAAGAATGTTAATTGTGAGAGTTGGACAAATTAATCCCAATAGCAGATGCCTTTGTTCTGTCTTGAGTTACTCAACATTCATGAAGCAATCTTCAAATACAGGTTGTCCTCAACATATGACCACAACTACTGGTCCTAAAATTTATGTTGCTAAGTGAGACAATTGTTAAGTGAGTTTTGGCCCATTTTACGACTTTTCTTGCCACGGTTAAGTGACTCGTTGCAATTGTTAAGTGAATCTGGCTTCCCCATTGATTTTGCTTGTCAGAAAGTCACAAATGGTGATCACTTGACACTGGGACACAACAAGCGTCATAAACATGAATTGCCAAGCATCTGAATTTTGATCATATGATCATGAGGATGCTGCAACAGTTGTAAGTGGGAAAAATGGTTATAAGTCACTTTTTTCAGTGCCATTGCAAATTTGCACTTTACTGCTAAATCAAGGACTACCTGTAATCCCAGACAGGATAACGATTAACATTCCCTTCATACAAAACATTCGCACAGCCAATGATGATTTCCTCTCCCAAGATAACAGTAATTTAAGAAAACCCCTGGCCCTTATCAATACCATTACTAAACTGAAATAAACCAATATTTAGCACATTGCTCCTGATATTCTACTTATTTCCTATGAATTATGCAGTAAAAAAACACAAGTTAGACATACCAGAAAATCTGAATAACTAAGTTGGTTGTCAGATTTGCTTTTCTTGCACTCTTCTAATGATGGTTGGTGCAGGGAATATAGAGGTGTGCTTTTGGAAGGAGTCTGCAAAATGTAATACACACCTAGGCTCAAGTTACATCAAATATAAAATATAGGCAAGCAAATAAACTGTTGTAGAACAGGAGGAAAAACTGCACCCAATTTAAAAAGTGAATTTCATTCTCAAGCAAAAGCCTGAAAACAACTCCTGTTCAGAATGAAGTTTTAAGATTCATACATTTCCATTTCTCTGCTCGTTACTTGTACTATTTGCCAGGAAATCTTATTGGTAAACTATATTTATTTTCTATTTACCATTTGGAAACAGTTCCAAGTTGTCCCATTAGCAGCATATCCGATTATCTTAGCTTTTACTGCCTTTCTTACATTCAATTAATAAGTCTTGTTTGACAACACATACATTATTCCAGCACTGTTACAGTGTCTGTTCTCTAGCTTTTTCACTACAGGGAAACTACCCAATATATCTTGTACTGTACAGCTTCACAGATTATTAGTTTAATAGAAAATTATTTCAGGCAACTACTGGCATGGCAAATTGCAGAACCATGCTTGCCTTGAGTGATGGGACAGAGAGAAGCCAAAGAAAGTCAGACAGTTTAGTCCAGTGATGGCTAACCTATGACACGCGTGTCACTCGTGACACGCCGAGGCACTTTGACTGACACGCCTGTTGGTGTGGGGAAAACCTGCACATTTAGAGGCTGCCTGTGCTCTGCTCCAATCCCTGTTCCCTGCTTGTTGCGTGGAGGCGTGGTGTCACCGCTGCCGCGAGATCTTTGCAGCAGAGAACCAGTTTTAACCGCCATAAACTGAGGTTTGTCAGTTTCATTACCTCAGGAACGCTACAGGAGGAAAGGAGATCCATGAGGTTCACAGCCCTGTAAGGTGGCCTTCCGATCCCCACATCCTGCACCTGCAGCCCTGAAACCAGGGAGACGAGTTTCACAGCCCTGTGTGATCACCCCAGCCCAGTCTGTCATAAACATCGCAGGAGGACTGCACCACAACAACCAGACACAGTGCTCACAATAAGCAGCATCTGGTGGCTGTCCTGTAAGTGCAATTAATACTAAAATCTGCATTTCTGTCTTTGTGGCTCTCCCTTCTTCTCTCCCACTGTAAAACGCTTGGATGTCTAGTCTGCAGCATTCAGCCCCTCTCCAGCTCCTCTAAGCTTTAATTGCCTCCATAGCAGCTCTTGCAGTTCTTGCTTCTCACCATCATCACAGAGCACCATGCAAACCTTCCCAAAAAAATCCCCAAAACACAAACCAAAAAAAGCCCCTTATTTTGGACATCATATTGACTTTAATTTCTTTCTCCTGGCAGGGTTCTTCTTCTGAGGCTGAAGATTTAGCAAATGCAATTCAGCAACAGAAAAGTCACTAAGGTAAATCATTATTTGTTTTTTGCTTTTTGAACTAATAAATATATTAAAAATATAACTCTTTATTTATTAGGGCTGCAAATATCACCAAATTATTGATATTTCTTGAAGTGACACACGACCCGAGGAAGGTTACACTTTTTTCCGATTTTCGACACACCAAGCTGAAAAGGTTAGCCATCACTGGTTTAGTATTTGGATGGGAGACCACTATGCTAGAATTAAATAATAAAGGGAAAAAAGCCATTCTGATAAATAGCAATTCTTATCTTACCAAATTCTTATCAAGAAAATTTCCCAGAAGTTAGGCTGTTGGTTTGAGCTCTGAGCTTGGCAATTTGGTTGCAAACATTTTGTCACCATTTGAGGAGACATGTCAATGCATTTTGAATTGTGCTAACGCTAACCTTAACAACAGCCAGCCACTCAAATTATCAAACAAGCCAAAAACAAACCAGGACTCAGAAGCACCCAGATAACAACTCCAATCCTAATCTGTATCACACAGACTGTATTTAACTACAGCCCAGCAACAACAACTAGCCAATCCAACAGTCCAAAATCAGACCATGACTCAGAAATATCCAACAAACGTTCAGACTAATCTGCATCTTATCAAAAGTTATTTAAAGACCTGTGTTCTGACAGACGAGCACAATTCAAAACTCACTGATGATGTCTCCTCAAATGGTGACGAAACGTTTGCAACCAAATTGCCAAGCTCAGAGCATAAACTAACAGCGTAACTACCAACCCGAGCTACTAATATTCAAACACATTTCAAACATTTTCCAGAAGTGTCCATGTGGTTAAACACAACTCGAGTTTTGTTTAATATCTAGACCCATGATTTATAAAATCTGTTTCATGTCTCACATTATTATGCAACTCTATTTCATCTAGCTGGTTAAAAAAAGGGCTCACTTTTTTTTAAAAAAGGTAAAAAATGAATAAAGAGACCAAAAACAAAAACACAAGGAATGGCATCCATAGCGATAGTCTGCTTCAATTGACCTTTTGAGTTATCACTTGAATATCAATCAATTATTAAACATAATTAAGAGTAACCCATCCAGTTAAGTTTATATAATATTTTTTAGGTTAGGTTTATACAATATTTACCTGAAAGGTAAACCAGACCTTTTATTTTCTCTGAATAATTTATCTAAAATGAATGGGATCATCCTTGACTCACAGAGAATATACTAATAAAGAGATAGCTTTCTGGATAATTTTTCGGGGGAATGAGTTGTCTGCTTAAATTCAGTATTTTAATCAAAATACTCTGGGAGGAAGATAACAGTTTCTCATTTATGAAACAATTGCTTTCTGCACACCTAAAGGAGAAAGTAAGTCATATTTAATGCACTATGATGGAATTTACTTCCAGATATACATTCAAAGAACTCTAATGGAACTTACTTCCAGATATATAATATATTCAAAGTAACTTAATCCTGCATAAAGCAATAATCATAATTCTTGCTTATATCTAAATATATACATTTGAAACTATATACGTATTTACTTTCCTATAACTAAATACCATATATCTAGCTGAAGGATATTTTTTTTACATTCTTCTATTTGTTACATAACACATCAGGAATATTCTTCACTCTGTACTATGATCTTTCCCTAGCAAATAAAAACTGTATTAAACTTATCTTTTCAACTGTACGCAATATTTTCAACAAATCTTATACAGGCATACTGTATGAAGTATTTTCTCAGAAATGGAAAAATACTGATCTCAGTTACTTTTCTAAAAAATATGTTAAAAGGACATTCCATTTAACATACACTTTGGAAAGTCTTGCTCTTAAACATTTAGTATTACAGGTCTAGTGAACTTTTCTATAAGTTATTTTGTATGAATCCAACAACTGAGCACCTGCTAAGAATGTGAGTGTTTCTTAAAATTTTCAGTTTTGTTGTTATGGTTCATACGAAATATTTTCTATAAAATATTTTGTAGGCAAAAAAAAAATGGACCACTGCAGTGCTCATCATTAATGTCATATTCCCTAGGATCAGTAAGACAATAGCCGAGCTTTCATTGACTAGCAGTCAAAACATTTTTGCTAAGTTTGGAAAGCTCTTTAATATCCAAAAAAGAAATAGCAATAACAATAGCACTTAGACTTACAGCAGGGGTAGTCAACCTTTTTATACCTACCGCCCACTTTTGTATCTCTGTTAGTAGTAAAAATTTTCTCTAACCGCCCACCGGTCCCAAAGTAATAATGATTTATACAGTAGGGGACAAAACCCCTACCGCCCATCATGAAAGCTGGAATGCCCACTAGTGGGTGGTAGGGACCAAGTTGACTACCACTGACTTACAGTATATGCTGCTCCATAGTGTTTTACAGCAGAGTTTCCCAGCATTTCTATCTTTGCGGATCGGAGGCGCATGGGGTGGGGTTCTGCACACGTGCAGCTCCATTTACGTGAGCAGCGTGCTTGCCATTCAGTTAAGTGGAGCGTACACTCGCACTTGCCCACTGTTTGCACAAGTGAGATGCTCGTGTGCGCTTGCTGCCCAGTTGCAAACCCCTCATGACCCACTAGTAGGGCGTAGCCCACAGGTTAGGGACCCCTGCATTATAGCTTTCTCTGAGTGGTTTGCATTTTCAGCATATTGCCCTCTGCAACAATAATTTTATCAACCTTGGAAGAATGGAAGTCTGATTCAATCTTGAGCTCTGTCAGGATTGAACTCGAGACTGTGGGCAGAATTACCCTGCAATACTGCATTCTAACCCCTGCACCACCAATCTATTTCTCATAGATTGATAAATATGGATTATATTTATATATCAAATAAACTTTGAAAGTAACATTACAAGAGGCAGCACAATCATTTGCTTACCAAGCTGAAATAAGACTAAATTCTTTCTCATATATATATATTAACCTCATATACACAGTGCAATACAAAATAATTTTTCCTGATACATTTTTACAATAAAATTATGTTGCCAGAATCAGTTAGAAATGTTAATTATACATACAAACATAGAAAGCACAGCTTGCATTCCATTAATATCCAAAACAAACAAGAAATTAGTGGGACTTCAATTAATTTTGAATAAGCACTTATGGAAAGATTATTAATACTCATCAATTCAAGCTAAGTCCAGTTTTGCTTTTTTTTTTTTTTGTTCAAAGCTATACTGATTCAGGAGCTTAGGTCAAAGCTTGCAAATGAAACCCAGTGTATCATAAGCGGTCTATCAAGCACATTGTTTTCCTCTCTCTAATCCTGGGGAAGCTTCCCTGGATGTCAATCACCAAGCAGATCGGCCTGTAATAGAGCAATCAGGAAGGAGTATGAATCAGGCCGGCTCATGTGTCATGTGATCTACAAATGCCTTACTCTCAATGACAGAAACCCAAACAAAGTTGATCAAGAAGTGGATTTGCACTGTGTCTCCAAACTCAAAGATACATTATTGTATTGCCTTCAACAACCAGTCCAAGCTTTAAAAAGAAATGTGATCAGCTTTACTCACTTTGCTTTGAAGCAACTGTTTACTAGGAACAGCAAAATTGGCTGCTATGTTATTGCAACTGGATGCTTTAAGTACAGTTAAGTTTGAGGCTACCTGAAAAAAAGAATAGTTCTAGTCAGGAATAAGAAACTTGTGGACATTTCAATAAGCAACATATTTAAAACCCAGTGTTAATCTCCAAGAACATATTCTTAAATTATCTCAAACTTAAAAAATACCTTTAAGAGTCTTCTTTTTCAGGACTACTGTATTAGATCGAGGCAACAAAAAATCAGACAAAAGAAAAAGAATAACCTCTTCCTGCCATTTAACAGACAACAATTGTACCTGGATCGTGGAGTCCTTGGTGCTGAGCTTATTTTTATCATGTTAGAGCATGGGTGTCAAATTGGTGGCCCGCGGGCTGGATGCATCATGCACAGGCCACACCCATTCCGGCTCCACAAAGACAAAAAGTCACAATATGTCACGTGACAAGATTCAGTTTGACACCCATGGTGTTAGAGCTACTGCGCAGAAAAATGCTTTAGGGTGGCCTATACTACAGACAATCAAGATAGAATTCTAACAGATTTTGTTTCATTTTTTAAAAAGTATTTAATAATCCAGAAATTGCCTTCAATTTATAGTAATCCTAATATATTTATGCACTTTTTGTGCAGAATAGTTACATGGCTATTGCGAAACTCTGACAGAAATGTTTAGGACATTCCTGGGGACAATGGACCTGCTAAAATTCCCAAGGTATCTGTCAGGTTCCATTCGATTTTAAGATTATTTTATTATATTTTTCTTTTAAAATGAAAGCTGATAACTAAAGGGCCATCTTCAAACACAATCTTTATTTCCAAGGGTACTTTTGAGTCCCATAGAGCCACGGGTGGGATTCTACCAGTTCAGACTGGTTCTATAGAACTAGGTTGTTACGATTCTGCACAGTTCGGAGAATCGGCAAATCATATCCCTGGCTGGCCCCTCCCCTCCCTGTCAGTCCTTATCGCATGTGTGTGACATTGCGTGCATGCCCAACAGCTGACTGCATTCTTCCCCGCCCAGTCACTCCTTAAGGTATTTTTTTTCCTCCTCCCGACAATCAGCTGTTCTGATGATCAGCTGTGCTGGGATCCCCCTCGCTGTCTTACTGCTTTGGCCAGGAGACTTCCCTGAGGCCCAAGATGAAAAAAGAAATGGAGCAGGGGGGGGGGCGTTATTGCTGGGAAAAAAAAGAAAGAAGAAGCCATGCCCACCTAGCCACACCCACAGAACTGGTTGTTAAAAAACCTGAATCCCACCCCTGCATAGAGCTTTACAAACTGAAAATAGTGGGATGTTTCAGCCTCGAATTTGACCTGAACCTCTGGTTCACCTGCCCAGAACAAAAGACAAAAATAAAAGATAGGGAGCAGTTTGGAGGTCTGGGGAGAAAACTCAACAATTGCTTCCTGGGATATGGAAGTTTCAAGATCAGCCCTTCACAACAGACCCTGCAATATTATATTCCTGACTTTTTATACCATATCTCATGTATACACAGGACAAACAGCATGAACATTTGTTACCAAGCAAACATTCAGAAAAATTTTTACTTTGCGTATCTTGTTTGTAGTTGGAGTATTCAACTGGGCAAGTCTTTTCATAGCTCCTTTTGGAGTTGCAGATTCCTCCCACTTCACTGACTGAAACATAAAAGGTCATTTTAAAGTAATAAATGTTGATACATTTTATACCAATCTTCATCCAATCCATAAGACAACTCTGACAACCACAGAAATATATGGATTACCTCCACCTTTTCATTATTGTTAAAAGATGGACAAGCATATTGGCCATTTTGTGTTTTCATTATCTCTTTCAAAAATTAATTACATTTAGATTATAATCCGGCCAAAATTCACCAGTAACATATTTGCAAAGAGATACAAACCACGCTTTGAACTCATCTTTTGAGCAACTTCAAAACATTGGGAAAGGAGATAAAAAGATAGCAAAAGTATAATTAGGTTTTTTTTAACCCACTTTCCTAAGTTTCAGGATCATTTGTTCAATAGCATGATGCTTACAGCTAAAATAAATGTGAAAGACCTGTCTTCAAGCATGAAAGTCGCTTTATTTCACAATAAAAACACCAAAATAATGAATAACAACTTACTGTTTTGGGTTGATCTTTTTTAAGTTTGTAATGTTGTAACTGTCGGGCCATGGAATCAAGAAACCTCTGGCTTCTAATAAGGAAATTTGAATTATGTTCCTTCTCCCAATGTTCAACTTTTTTCTTCAGTTCTTCCCCTAACTAAATTTGTAAAAGAAATGTCTACGTTAATTATTCTGCATTTTTAACTATTTATTCAATTTCTATAGCTGCCCAACTTAACCAAGTGCCCAAGTAATTAAAGTTTCAAATATAAAAAAGGCTTATTCCAACATCAGTTTCATAATGCTGCTTCACAAAACTCTTTACATCTTAACTGTATTCTATTAAAACACACAATGCAAACAAATCATCAATGATTCTAAGAGGCATGTCAGTAGAAGCATATATTTCCCATTTGAGGAATTTATAGCCAGGATTATATAAATAGAAGTTTTTGCAATTTACCAGAGCCTTATGAAATGATACGAGAAGAGGCGGTATGATTATCTTAACTTCAAGTTATATTACAGCTCTTTTATCTTGCACCATTAACAATATTTGATGTTTGTCGTTTTATTCAGGTAGGTTCACTATCGCAAAATTTTTTCACTGTTATCCCCATCTCACATACACAAATGAGAGAAGCTATGGAAACATTGTCCTGGCATTTTACCTTTGATAACTGCTTTTGAGTCTTCGATCTTTCGCGTTCATCTTTGAGCAGGTTACCGCCTCTGTTTAGGAGCCTGCTTGGATCTGTTGATTTTTTCTTAACACAAATACTGAATAGATTAATATACTAAATAACCAAACATGCATTTACCCATAGCAACTTCACTCCCAATCCTTTTCATAGGTGGGGAATTTTCCCTCAGGCCTAAAGCCAAAGCATAATACTTACTGCATATGTATTGGATATAATTTCTGATTTCATCAACTTGTGCTAAAATAGCTTTTATTTTAGTGATGAGTTTAACAAGAAAACAAATCAGATAAGTCTAAGAAGTTCAAGAATAACATCAAAGTATAATGAAATGAAATATTGTTTATTCAGTCAGCAACCAGCAAAAATTGAAAATATACACTGCTCAAAAAATAAAGGGAACACAAAAATAAGACATCCTAGATCTGAGTGAATGAAATATTCTTATTAAATACTTCGTTCATTACATAGTTGAATGTGCTGACAAGAAACTCACAGAAAAATTATCAATGGAAATCAGTTTTAGCAACCCATGGAGATCTGGATTTGGAGTTACACTCAAAATTAAAGTGGAAAAAAACACTACAGGCTCATCCAACTTTGATGTAATGTCCTTAAAGCAAGTCAAAATGAGGCTCAGTAGTGTGTGTGGCCTCCACGTGCCTGTATGACCTCCCTGCAATGCCTGGGCATGCTCCTGATGAGGTGGCGATGGTCTCCTGAGGGATCTCCTCCCACACCTGGACTAAAGCTTGCCCCAACTCCTGGACAGTCTATGGTGCAACGTGGCGTTGGTGGATGGAGCGAGACATGATGTCCCAGATGTGCTCAATTGGATTCAGGTCTGGGGAACGGGCGGGCCAGTCCATAGCATCAATGCCTTCGTCTTGCAGGAACTGCTGACACACTCCAGCCACATGAGGTCTAGCATTGTCTTGCATTAGGAGGAACCCAGGGCCAACCACACCAGCTTATGGTCGCACAAGGAGTCTGAGGATCTCATCTCAGTATCCAATGGCAGTCAGGCTACCTCTGGCGAGCACATGGAGGGCTGTGCCACCCCACACCATTACTGACCCACTGCCAAACCGGTCATGCTGGAGGATGTTGCACAGGGTGCCAGGGGCAAATTTGCTAATCTTGGTGTTCTCTGGCAAATGCCAAACGTCCTGCACAGTGTTGGGCTGTAAGCACAACCCCCACCTGTGGACATCGGGCCCTCATACCACCCTCATGGAGTCTGTTTATCGTTTGAGCAGCCACATGCACATTTGTGGCCCGCTGAAGGTCATTTTGCAGGGCTCTGGCAGTGCTCCTCCTGTCCCTTCCTGCACAAAGGCGGAGGTAGCGGTCCTGATGCTGGGTTGTTGCACTTCTACAGCCTCCTCATCTCCTGTACATCGCCTGTCTCCTGGTAGCGCCTCCATGCTCTGGACACTACGCTGACAGACACAGCAAACCTTCTTGCCACAGCTCGCATTAATGTGCCATCCTGGAGGAGCTGCACTACCTGAGCCACTTGTACGGGTTGTAGACTCCGTTTCATGCTACCACTAGAGTGAAAGCACCACCAGCTTTCAGAAGTGACCAAACCATCAGCCGGAAAGCATAGGAACTGAGAAGTGGTCTGTGGTCACCACCTGCAGAACCACTCCTTTATTGGGGATGTCTTGCTAACTGCCTATGCTTTCCACCTGTTGTCTATTCCATTTGCACAAGAGCATGTGAAATTGATTGTCAATCAGTGTTGCCACCTAAGTGGACAGCTTGATTTCACAGAAGTGTGCTTGACTTGGAGTTACATTGTGTTGTTTAAGTGTTCCCTTTATTTTTTTGAGCAGTGTACATCAAAGTAAAATCAAATGTGTGAGGTAAATACTAGCGAACCAAAGAATCAATCAAAAATATTTCTAGATGAATAAATTTTCCCAATTTAGATATAAACAGTCCCCCAGTTAAGAATATCTGACTTAAACACAACCCCTGGATATGAAGGGGCTGCCTATTGGTTAAAAATTCTCTTTTCTCAACCAGACAAAGCATTGAAGGCACACAATACTTTCAGGACTAGCTGACGCTGCATGTTTTCATATACAGCCTATTTTCAGCAGTCCTTGAAAGCATTGAGTGGGTTTAACGCTTCATTGGCTACAGAAAGGAGAGTGCTTTCTGCCATTTTTAGTAATAGGCAATCCATCTGTAAGTATGACTTAAATATACATTCTGGTTAACGACCAAGTTAGGGAATGAAACTTGTTCATAACCCAAGGACTGTAGGAGAAGAGAAGGCAGAGTTGGAAGGGACGGGGAGTAGGATTAAGCGTGTCATTAGATTAGAATCAAATGTCTATGAAGATTCTCAATCATCCAGGTCATGGTTGTCCCAAAGATGCTTTTTCAAGAGGCAACTGGACTTTCTTATTTTTCTTTGAAGACATTTTGCTTCTCATCCAAGAAGCTTCTTCAGCTCTGATTGGATGGTGGGGAATGGAAGGATTTATATTCCTTGCAGACAACTGATCATTTATATTCTTTTAGAGTTGCAGAGGCCACTTGGAGGTTTATCTGTGTCCTCAGAGTCACCTGAGTAGTGCAAATGGGTGCGGAGCCTTCAAATCAGTCCTTTCAGCAGTTGCAAGAAGGCTCCACACCAGTTTGCACTACTCAGATGACCCTGAGGACACAGATAAAACCCCAAGTGCCTCAACTTTCTAAAAGAATGCAAATGACTAGCTGTCTGCAAGGAACATAAATCCATCCATTCTACCATCCAGTCAGAGATGAAGAAGCTTCTCGGGTGAGAAGAGAAATGTCTTCAAGGAAAAACAAGAAAATCCAGTTGCCACTTGAAAAAAGCTCCTTTGGATTAGAGTTGTTATGTTCCCAAAATGAGTCCAAGTCCAACCCCTCCTGAATTCTGCTGTCCCTTATCTAGCACCAATTTAGTGTTGAACTTTAGTTTAGATTCTTGTGTATAAATCTGAACAAATCTTCTATGCTGCAACCTAACAGATGGTCCTGACTCTTTGCCCCTGACATTAATCATTATAGGAATGTAAAGTCTCTAAGCTGATGATATATTTAATTAACCCATCCCCAGATGTCTGCTCTTCTCCTACAGTACTGCCTCTATTGTACCTGAATCAGTTTTAGAATGTTAGAGGAAAAAATCTGTGTTTTAAGATTTTAACAGTAAGCTTCTCAAATAAACAGGGTTTTTGATTGAAATTTAGAGTTGGATTTCTTCTCTTAGTCTGTTAAAATTTGCAGTTATAAAGGATAAAATCAATAATTGGATACTGAAATTAGCTTCACTGATCTCATGGCAAAAAAGCCTATTATTTTTTATCATGAATTTTATCATCACAGTTGCAACATCCTTGTTTTAGCATCTATATTTCAAAAATCAAATAACTTTCTTCTCATTCAGCTCATTGGATTGGCATTCTCCAAATCTGTTTTTCTGTGGACAATGGGGAGATATTATAACTCTTCAGTAAAATACCAGCACTAGGCAAATACGGTGTTCTAACTCATATCAGAAAATAGTATTTGCTGCAAAATTTTAAAAATAATAAATTATCCCAGGCAATTAAAAAGATGGTAAGAATTGAAAGAGCATCTACCTCAAATTCAATGAAGCGATCCAGAATGGCCTCCCATTTATGAACAGTATCATAAAGACTCTGGTCTTCCTCATAAACCATTTTTATTTTGAACAGTTCTTCATCATGATAATGCAACAATTCTTCTGAGAAATTGTCTATATAAATCAGTAAACTTTCATTAAACATAGCAAAAAAAAATAAGAGCAGAAACAAAACACATTCATTGTGACTGAACCCAGAAAACTTTTTAAACATTTATCCCACTATTCCAATAAACAATATAGATAGTACTTGGGTTGCGTTCTTGGGTTACGACACTGCTGAAATAGGAAGACTTATAACCAGTCCTCAGAGTACTGGATGTTGTAGCATTCCCAGTTACAGAGGTGTAATCTGGGAACTTTATGTCATTGCAGCTAGCAGCATTCATCATGATTTCATGTTTCCTGCCAACTTCCCACAAGTCAATGGGGAAGCCAGCAGAAAGCTTAAAGTTGCTCCTGTGACTTTTTCACCCATCCTTTGTAGCTCCTGCCCACAGCAAGCCTCTCATATGTTTTATCCCTTTTGCACAACAAGAAGCACTTATTTGCTTTCAAGCATAGGACTTCTCATGCATAAAGGAGATAATGATTACATTTTGAATTTATAAACATATGCTACAATGAATTACCATCATAAAAGGGCTGAAACGCAGCTTTTTGTTCATCAGAATAAAAGCATTTCTGCCAATAGCTTTCAAGATCTTGTCTGACTTTCAAAATTATTTCTTTAAGTTTCTCCTTCTTCACCTCTTCCAGTGTTTGTAATTCTTCTTCCCACTAATGAAAACAAAATGAAACCATTAATTGTGATGCTTACACAATGTACTTCACCTACTACATTCATGTTATTAGTGGAGAGAGACATCAAAATTCTTCTTCTATTACCATATTTGTGGCTTCACAGATGGAACACTGGCTGACCCTTTTCGTGAACTCTTCTTGATTTTCTTGGGGCCACTGAAGTCTGTCCCATAGAAGTTGAACTTGTTTCATCAGGACATCCTTGGTGGCCATCAGAGACTCCTTCTTCTTCTGCAACTAAAGAGGCACACTCAAATAAGTATATGCAAAAGGGTTATCTAAAGAATGGAGAACTAAGAGTTTGGTCTGGCGGTTGAGACGTTAGACTGAAAATGGGAGTGTATGAATTCTAATCCCACCTTAGCCATAAAGGTCGGCTGGGTGACTTTGGGCCACTCACTCTGCAGAGTTGTTGAGGGGAAAATATGAGGAGGAAGATGTGTTGGATATGTTCACAGCCTTGAATTATTTGTAAAAATAATAAAGATGGGACACAAAGAAATAAATAAAAACCAAGGCAAGTGAACTGTGTTTCTTTGTAAATTGTAGCCTAAAGGGAAAAGCAAGTCAGATCCATCACAGAACCCAGGTTGACATGGCAAATAATTTTTTTAGGGGTCAATAAGAAAAAAAGAGGCTCAGTTTCCATATTCCTTTGCCCAGTGAAGGATAATGGTTGATACTGGAACACGATCTCTTTCTATGTATACACACACGCATGCCTGTTCAAAAGTTGTAAGAGACTGAACACAATAACTAAAATGCTATTAAATAGCTTTTAATAAGCATAATCTTAACTTTGTCAATCAGTTGAACAGGCTGCTATTAAGATCCAAAAGATGAGCATGAACTAAAGAAAACAGTAATTAATTAAAATTTGATTTATTATCATTCTTACCATTACCCCTTTGTAATGTTAGAAAGTACAGTACACTGATAACCCATGTTATAAATGCTATGAATCTGCACCAAGAGAGGGGTACTTTCATTTTGGAGCCTTCCTTGCTTTTTATGAAGCATAACTTTAAACAATATTGTGAGTTAATAGTTAAAGTAATCGATTCATTCATACAAATAGAATCTTTTACACAAGAAGCCCAACCTGATGGATAAGCTGTTGAAGATCTTCAAGATACTTTTTTGTAAGACAAATATATCCTTCTTCTTCATCGTCACATAACATATCATTTTCCAATGTTCCATCGGGTGTGTGCCCAATTTCTTTACTATATAGTCTGATTTCTCTTCTCAGTTTATGAAACTCTTCTAATCTTTGTTCCTGTTCAAATAATAGTTTAAAGGTATCAAATTAAAGAGTTTATTTTATTCATTTTTTATACAATTTAGAATCTATCCAACTCACAATATCACAAAGGAAATAAAATACAGTATTAATAAGAGGAAAAAAACACAAGATAAATAACAAATACAAGAAGGAACAAGATGGGCAGAGACTGCAACAGAGAAGACATGCTTCCTGGCTTTAATGACTGACTGAAAGGGCTTGGAGCATGCCAGTCTGTTGGCTCATTTCATATCAACAGCCCTCTTAAACATGGCTGTTTCAACAAACTTGGAGATCTCGTGCCAACAGTTGCTCCATGCATTGGCTGCATCATGCATAATATTCTAATGTTCTGTCATCACTTTATTTATATTTGTTTTACTTTGTTTTTGTATACTGTGTCAACTGTTTCAACTTTTATTGTAAGCTGCCTAGCTGTGAGGGATGGGTGGCCATATAAATTTGATAAATAAATCACTTATGGTCAAGTGAGGGAGCTATCACCCTCAAGATATTCAGGAAAACTGTACCCATGAGAGGGTAACAAGAGCGTATTAGTTGACTTTTCATCAATCACAAAACAGAATCTCTGCATATTCCTCCATTTCATGCTTAAGTTGATTACAAATTCTTAGCAAAAGTCTGAATGAAAGTCTTAAGTTTATCTTCCGGCAGCAAATTTTATGGGAGTTTCATTGCAGATGGGATGCAGAACAGAGCGATCTCAGAATGCTTGTTCTTTTTCCACTCAAGAAAATAGAATGTTCATTTAGCTTATTTTTTTACAGCAAAGTCTGACTTGCTAATGAAGGGATATAAATAAGTACCATACCTTTACTTTCAGAAGATTTGTTACATGTTCTTTTATTTCTTCTAGCTGTGTACTATTCGGAATACTGCCGGTAGGGATGTAGTAAGGGACTACACAAAGCTCTGCGCATAATGCCTGATCTTCTCGCTGTAGCTGTGTCAACTTCCCCAGCCTCTCCTGTTTTTCTCTAAGGGCGCTCTCCAAAGCCAGACGATATTCCTTCTCTAATTGAAGGATAGTTAAGCCATCATCAACCTGTAAAGTTATACAGCAAATATAAATATATTCATTTAGTACTTCTGTGACTCTATCCAGTAGTCTGTTTATTCTACTAGATCTAGAACAGCAGGCTCAGTGTTCCATCATTACAATTAGACCTTGGAGACAAACCTTCTTTATGGCTCCCCCCAGGCTGTGAAATAATATCAGCCCACCCACAAAGTCCACAGGGCCCTGATCCTGTGGTTGTAAGGGGAAGTCTTAAAATATGGTTCTTTCAGCAGACCAATGGATGATTTGTAACCCTATACTAATGTTGGCATTTTATAACTTGGTTCTTGGTATTTTCTCCCGCAATGTAGACTTTTAGATGTATATTCCAAAGGTAAGGCTCCAGTGGTTATTATTTTGGCCAATCATCTTCCTACAAGAGTGATTTTGGGGCTTGCTTTATGTTGCCTGCTGGGTCTTATTTATGAAATTAGGTGTTGGAAGAAATAGCCATCTGGTTCAGTTCCAAGCCGGGAGAAAGACACTGGAAAGATGGAAGCTGATTGGAAAGATGGTTTAATGATGAAGCAGAACCACATGGGAGTTGAGAGGGAAGGATTATACCTTCTCTTAAGCTTTACACTTGAGCTGCTTTTTTCTGTGCAAGAACATGTATTCTATTGGCTGTTGAAGGGGTCATAGCTGGCTCTATAGGTTGTCTGAACTAAGTTTAGTTGAAGTTTGGTCTGCTCTGAGATGATGCAATGAAGGAACTTTGGGCAATTCCTGTTGTAGCTGAGGACTAATCCTACCTTTGTTCAAACCTTGCTACATGGAATTTTTGCCTATGAATAGAGCTACCTAGATACTTGGCTTCTTTCAATAGGCTCTTTATCTCTGAAGTGCTAACATCTACTGAGGGCTATTAAGAAAGGTGAGGGCTGCTTTAAAAACATGTTTCTCCATTTCTCATCCAGGGAAATATAATACTCTGCCTTTTTTAATATTCTATTCTTCTAGGAGAGGGGTGGGTACTAACTTTCTACCCAGGGCATAAGCTAAAAAAACTTCTCAAATTATTTAAATAGAAGAAAATCTCTCTAAGGAGTTACAGAGCAAGAAATATCTGGTGCTAAACAGGTGCTGGGAGATGCAAGGGGCCCCATGCTTACCAATGCTAGCACGGAATTCCAATTTATAGACGTAAAAAAGCAATAGGAAAGAGTTTACAAGCTCTTTAGCCAATGAACTATTGAACAGCCAACTGAAGTAAGTGTCAATTTGCAAAGCAAATTGGAGTTGCCATGGGCAAGGGGCACGGGAGGGTGAACTTCGCTGCTACATCAAGGAACTGATATCTCAATCAAAACAAGGCACATTCCACCCAATATGTCTCCACAGAAACCCACAGTGGCCAGAGGGACTTTTACAACCCGCAAAATTGCTCCACTGGGGAATGTGACTAATGACATATATTGGGGGGGAAACAGGGTCAGAAGCAAAGCACTAATTAACTGAGATCAGAGTTGGCTCCACCTGGTCAGTTGGGTAGGAAGCTCCTAATAAATAACTGGATTTCTTTTGAAGCTTGGCTTGAGACTCATGATTTGATTAGGGCATCAGTTGGAACTCTGACAATAAGCTTATTATTCTCCACTTTGCTGAGAAATGCACTATTTTCCACAGTTTGCTTCAAAAAGAAATCCCTCAGATAATTCCTTCACAATGTTCAGTCCGTCATCAAGTTTTATTCAATTTAATTTACAGTTATTTGTTTTTTAAATACTCACCACTAAAAAAAATAAAGCAATTTAGCATTTAGAAAATGCTGAAATAAAAAAAAATCTAAAAACATCAAAAACAGTAAATACTGAAATCATCAATTTGAATATTTTGTATTTGAATTGCAATTTTTAAAAAACCAATTAGGACATGAAATTAAGAAGATTAAAAGGCAATTTGGGTAAACAGGTAATTTTTAAATTTTTCGCAGTGTCTTTATAATAAAGATCAACTTAATTTCCACCAGATTCCATTTCACACTTTAGATGCCCCTACCAAGTAAATTACAGTATAAAAGCACTGGAAACAAACCCTGGACATTTTCAAAACATGTGTCATATTGGATAAAATTCTATTTTTGATAATACAGACTCCACGTATTCTATCACAGATAGTGAAATACAAATGAAATGGTACCGTGTTTCTCATATAATAAAGCCGGGTTTTGTTTTTTTTGAGCCCCGAAAAAATGGCTTTTCGGAGGTGACTTAATTCCCCCCCTTGCATCTTCGGGCGGGCGGTGATGGCTTGGATGTTGACCTTGGCGTTGGGGGGGCACTTCGTATCGGGGTCAACGCAGGCAACACCATATCCAGGTGTGCAACAAAAGTACTTTCTAACTGCAAGCCCCCCAACCATTCCCCCTCATTTCACATGTTTTAATATAGGCCTTAATTTGGGTGGAGGGGCTTAATTTCATTTCATGACTATAAAACATGCTGGGACTTCCTATTGGGGGAGGCCGTATTGTTGGAGAAACAGGGTATTTACAGAATTGTGTTACGATGAAATTATAGATAAGTCATTTATGGCAGCTTAATATCACTTTAGTTTTCTGTTCTTGGAAACAATTAGCAGCTGAAAAAAACTTACCTTGTAAGGGTCCAGACCAAGTTGGTCTCTGAGTATATTCAGCTGATTTTTCTGAATTTTAATATCATTTTCAAGTTTTTCTTTCACACTGTTTTCATCATCAATCATTTCTTCCAATAGTTTCTGTCCAGAAACACCCCCGCAAAAAACACGTCAGCATAGGTTTCTAACCGATCTAATTGTTGAACTGGTTATTTGATCAGAACCCAATAGAAACCATAGCTAAAATAAAGCCTATGTCCATTAGCCCAGGATTTGATATATGTCCAGGGCCAGTCAAAAAAGGTATCAGATTGTTGTCAATCAAGGTTTTCATTCATGAATGGAATGAAGAGTTTTTCTGACTCACTTTCCTCTGCATCCCTCATGCCATTTTCCACATGGTTTCAATGAAAACAAACGTGATGCATGAGAACAAAACAGAGAACAGCTAAAACTGATCTTCCCTATCTTCCTGCTACAACCCAAATATTGCAATCAGAAGCCTACATCTGGAATATAAAATGACTGCTCACTAAAAAGTGAAAACTTGAATACCAGTAATTGATAAGTAGGTCTTTGGTTTATAATGCTTTGATCTAAATTATATTAAAGTGGCAGATGTTCAGAGACAGGTTGATGCTTGCATTAACTGATTGGTTTTAAATATAAACACCTCTTCCCTTGAGCGATTTATTTTCAGGAGAAAAAAGAACCATACCAAACCAAATGCCTTTAAACTTTTTTGTATGATTAGAGAGATATAATGGACTTAATGGATCTTTCAAAGGCCGACTTTCCAGGCTTTTAAGTAGTCCTATGCACATCAGTGTTTTTCACACATTTCTGAAGGGGATAATATAGTCAAACTAGTGAATTTTTGAAGCACAATATACCTTAGAGCAGGAGTCTACTTGAAGCACAATATACCTTAGAGCAGGAGTCTCCAAATTTGGCAACTTTAAGACTTGTGGACTTTAACCTGTAGGAAGTTAGCATCCACACCTCTCCTAGAAAATTGAAATATCCTAGGAAATATTAAAAAGGCAGAATATTTCCCCTAAAAAGAGTAGAAACTAAGAGCAGAAACTCACCCCCACCTTTGTTAATGGGTGGGCCATTAAGGCCTGGGCCAGAATACTTTACATAACAAAGATCTCCAGGTAAAACTACAGCAATTGCCAAAAGCCCTTTTCAGTGCACCTTCATCCAGCAAGGCTCAACCAAGCCTGGAACTCAGGACAGCCTAGAGTTGCCCCTGCATGGCCCCATGGGAGTCTGACAACCAATTAGAAACAAGCTTCAATTCAAATCCCAACAAAGGCTATATAACCCAGGCACTCTCAGCACCTCAGTCCTTTTCTTGATCTCTTCCTTCACCTTGAAACATGTGATCACCCTTTTCACTTTGGAGTTTCAAGACACGTGGTCCTGTCCACTATTAAACCTTCCAAACATCCTCCATGTTTCCAGTGTCTTTTTCCCCACTTGGAACTGAATGTAGAAGGAGATTTCTTCCAACAAAGCCACAGAATTCTGGGAGTTGAAGTTCACCAGTCTTAAAAGTTGCCAAGTTTGGGGACCCCTGCCTTAGAGTAACAATCTCACTCTCCCCAAACCCCAAGGTTTTACAAAAAGAAATGCTATCTTTATTTGAATACAGCATCAAACCTTTAAGAAACATATTTTCCATAAAAATTGCAAAGAGCTGCTTTGCACAGAAATTCTCAACGAAAAAGGAATACAAAAAAGTAGAGAATTTGATAAGGTGCCCAGACTCCAGTTTGCTGTATTTCAAAGAATTCAGGCACCACTCTATTTATCTTATTTTTTTCTCCTATTATCTTCCCATTAAGTAGCTTTCCTTTTCTAGTTTCAAAATCCCCGGAAAGCCTGAATTTTTATCATTAAAATGAAAAGACAGAATTATGCAGAATAGTCCGATCTCCAAACATTTTATACATTTCAGAAACTTTATGAGGCATTGTCCACATACTTTTCACAGCTGTTATGAGCAGTTTGTCTGAGTCAGCAACTTTACATATTTGAGGCCTTAAAGTACTGCAATTGTCATGTTCTACTGATGTTGTGACATTTTCAGGTTTGGGGGGTAAAATCACACAGGATTTGGGGAGGACCATTTTTAAAATGAATCTTAAATTTACAGAAGAACTATTTAAAAATTGGGCTAAAATGGTTATTTGGGGTCATAAGTTAGCATAATCATAGCCAGATTGTCCGTAACCTATCCCCCTATTTTACTGCAATGAAGCCAGGATTTCTAATTGAGCAACAAATCAAATAGATATAGAAATATAGGAATAAATAAAAGATGGAAGGGACCTTTGAGGTCTTCTAGTCTAGCCCCCCACCCTCCTCTGAAGCAGGAGAACCTATACCATTTCAGACAAGTGACTGTCTCTTCTTAAAAACCTCCAGTGATGGAGCGCCCACAATTTCTGAAGGCAAGCTGTTCCATTGATTAATTTCCCCCACTGTTAGGAAGTTTCTCCTTAATTCCAGATTGCTTCTCTCTTTGATTAGTTTCCAACCATTGTTTCTTGTCCTGCCCTCTGATGCTTTGGTGCCCACTATCACATCAATCAAATACAATTTCCCCCTAAAATGGGTACTGGGAATTGTTACCGGATGTTTCATGCAATCCAATGTCACATAAGGCATTTTACATTTCAAGGCTGTCAGCCTGATCCATACCTCAATGTAGGACTTTGCAGCATGCATACGTTCAAGCTGCAGCTCTTTGCCAATTCCCATTTCATCCCACAAATCTAGTAGTTTTCCTATTGCTTGATTCACACTATTAAGCAGGGAAGAAGCCAAAACTTCACTGAAAAAGAGAAGAGTGATTTTAATGCCACAATGACGATGTAAGCATTGTCATTCTCAAAAGTGCTTCATCAAACGGCAACTGGACTTTGTTTTTCCTTGAAGACATTTTACTTCTCATCCAAGAAGCTTCAGTTCGGTTCCCTTCTTCAGAATTCTCATTGGCATCACATTAGTATTAATATTGCATTCAGATGTAGAGGCCTGACAGTATACATGTGATCCCACTTTTTCTAAAAATATATATAACATGCCTCCAGACTTCTGCTTCTTGTTGTGCCTTGTAGTGTTAATTTCTGATAAGTGCTTGGACATGTTTTCCTGGCAAGGCTTTTTGTACTGTTTGCCACTGCCTCCTCCTTAGGGCTGAGAGAAAGTAATCAGTGTAGCTCAAAGTCACCCAGATGGCTCAATGCCTAAGGTGGAACTGGAACTTACTATACCAAACTGGCTCTCCAAAATTTATGTTACTATATTTCTTGTACTTTTGTACTTCTAATATCTAATAAAAAAGAGGTTTAAAAGGATACAAGTCCTTCAGTGATTGAGAAGGCTAGAAATTTAATTGAAGGCAAAAATAAATACAAAAAGTTCCCAGATTCCCTCCACTATAAATCTCAGTGGAAAACACAGTATCCTCAGTAACAAAAGATAAATTACGTACAGTAATACTTTTAAGTGTTCAGAACCCCCTTCCCCCTTGTTTTGAAATGAAGAGGCAAAATAAGCCAATGTTATGGTCCTCATAATATGCAAGGAGAGATGGACAGGGAAACCCCAGGACATCTTTCCCAAAGCAACCTGATGACTTTAAGTAGCTTAAAATTGATATATCAGGAGAAAGACATCCTGGAATCTGGTTTGACTCCTGGGACTTCGTGGACACAGTTTTTCTTTTGGCAGCCAAACATAAGGGATTAACCACTGCCCCCATTTTTTTAAAAAAAATCCTGTTCATTTTTCCCTTTTCTTCTAAATTTCTTGGTCTTTTGGTGTGAATTGCAACCAAGCCCAGTCAATACTGTTTATGTTTTGGCAGCCAAATATAAGTGGTTAACCACTGCCTCCTTTTTTTAAAAAAATAAATCTGTCCATTTTTTTCCCTCTTTTTCTAAATTTCCTGATCTTTCAACTTGGTGAATTGCAACCACGCCCAATCAATGCAAAGCTTTATTGCTTAGCTGTCAAAAGCTGTCAAACCCTACTGAGACATATCGAGCTTCCCTCAGACCTTCCGTTGCTTCCGAGGCTGCTTTTTACGAGGGGGAGCGGCAACAAAGGCTCCCAAAGGAGCCGAGAAGTCCGCCTAGCTAGCCGCTCAGCGCTCCGGAGGCAGACCCCCGTTCCCTTCCCACCACGACACAACCTGGCTTCCGAAAAGTCCCTCATCCTCTTACCTTTCCCGCACACGTTTGGCCATGTGGAGCCTTAGAGACGGCCGTCGTTGCCGCCGCTATTCCCACTGCAAGGAAAATCCGAACGGAAGGAATTCCAAAACAATGACCCAAACGAACCGCCACCCCCGCCAAAATTCAAACTCGAAGGAAAAGTGTGGTCGAACGTCAGGCTGGGTCGGGACGGCCTATGATTGGCCCATTGCATTGGCCCGTTGTTTCCGGCGCTGCCGAAGCAGCCAATCCACGGGAAGAGAAGAAAATGAGGGGTGGAGCTCGCCTTTAAAATAAACTTCCACCTTCGGCGTTTCGCGTGAGATGATTGGTTGGCCGGTTAGAGACGAAGATAATTTTCTTTTTTTAAAAAAAAGCCAGAGGAGAAAGGAAGGTCTGTAGTTAAAGTAGGGCTGATGGGGAACTTGAGGGGAACTTATAGAAGAACGAACAGAGTTCATATTATCTTCATTCCGCTATGGATGGAATAACTGCGGTCTCTGAAGACAGACCCGGCTGCTTCGGAAATCAATCCCCATTGACTCCCATGGAACCTGCTCGCTAGTTAAATAAGTTTAGCGTCATTGAGATTTTACAGCCCTAGATGGGTTTCCTCGAAGATGGATCCTGTTTTGTCCAGAATCGCTCTTATAGCAGTTATGAATACAAAATCCCATTGCATGTAGGATTAACTGATCGTAATTTGTTAATGTGTTCCGGCGTGGTGTTACTTGGTGGAGACTAAATGAAACTTGTAGAATTATATGGGGCTTAATTTGTAAACAAAATAAAAAATCATGGGCCAATTAAATAAAAAAGAGAAAAACCACAGTCAACTACAGTTAAGTCTTTTCTTTAGCATAACTTCCAGCTTCCCTAGTTTCCTAGAGAGCTACAGTATATGAGACCTGCATAATATGCGTGCATGGTATCCATTAAACCTATTTATTTAAGCATAAATTACTGGTAGCCGCTTGTTGCTCACTCTCACGTTATCTCAGAAATTGAATGCACGGAACTTGCTCGCTCTTAGGTAATAGGGCCCAATATTTGGCAAGTCCTAAGCAGAATGGATCATTCACAGTAAATCATTATTCCAGCGCAATCGATTTCCTCGGAAACGTGACCCTAGTGCTGGCTGGGGTTTCTTACTCCAATAAAGATAATATTCTTGCGAGGCAGCCCCATCCAACCTTGGCATCGATTGAAAACTCTTCACTGGCTTTTTGGGCTGGGAGGAAAAGCAGGAAGTAAAATGGAGGGAAGGACCATATTTTGTAGAGGGGGGTCTTGGCAAAAATATGGCGGACAACAACTATGGAATAAAACAGGAGGCACTAATATTTCCAACGTCCATTTTCCTTTTAAAATCTACTCCCTATATTAGCGAAGAAATTGGGTGGTAAAACATGATAAAATAGCTAATGATAGTATGGATATCAACTTGCTCCCCCGTTTGAGGAATAGAGTGTGCCGGATAGTGGTGTCAAGCGCAGCTGGAAAGGCGGGGGAATTTCAGATCCGCTGAGCTATGAAGTCGGGTAAAACATGGAGTTTTGCGCAGTTATTGAGCCTGATCCTAATGAAAGCGACTTTCGGATCTGTCCATATAAATGTGGATCTCTCACGCCCTACAGGCGAGTTGAGGCATTTTTGGAAGAGCACGGGATATTGGTAAGAAATGACGGATTGCTTATGCAGTGAAGTCATGCGGTTTGCAGTTTGAAATCAGCAAATTGAAGACATTGTTTATATATTTGCAGTTAACTTCGCAAAGTCAAGGTTTTCACTCCTCTCCTTTTTTATAGTGCAAAAGTAAGGTAAAGCAAAGACAATCAAAATACACATTCCTCTTCGATACATACCTCTGATTTTTCAAGATTGGTTTGTGATATGTAATTTTTATGCAAATGTCTTCATTATTTGTAAATACAATCCATTCAAAGTGAGATTTAGTACAATTTCCTTTAGCCCTGAAGTTAGGTTGTAATTCTAAATACACTATAGCATAATGTAACACACAATACAGCAACAATTATTTCTTTAAGAAAGCATAATGCATTGTGGAAAAATGAGCTAGGGATTCAGAAATCTCTTCTTGGAAATCTCACACCATGAACCTATAGGGAAGCAATGATCTAATGCAACCCTCCCTCTTTTTGCAATATGTAAATAATATATCCTTAAGAAAGGTGGGTGGTTCAAAAACATGAAAAATAAAAATATCGGCTTACCTAATGGTAGCCGAAAACGTAAGCAGAGGGTGAAAGGTTGGAGGTTTATAACCCCTACCTCAGAATCCTTGGGGACTACCCACTGTAGCTCTCTTCAGCCTTGGGGTGCAATTTGGCAGGTTAATGCTGACACTACCTGCTTTCTTGTCTGTTTTTTCTCCTTCCCCTATCACGGTGAGTGCATCTGTAATGATATATGGAAATGATCTTACGAGATAGGAGGGAGGGAGAGCTGGAGACTAGATCATCAGCTTGTAAAAGAGTTCTTGGCCCATAGAACAGGGGTGGGAAATAAGGACTTGTGGATTGGCTCAGGAATTCAGGGAGTTGAAAGTCATGGTTCCAGACCCCTGCCATAGAAGGAGGGAGAGCAGAGGGGAACGTTTCACAAAGGTGCCCTTCCATAGTTTTCTAAAGGAAGAGAGAAATAATTTCAGACTTGCAGGATTCTGATCATGTAAACTTAAAAGAAAAATAGAGCTAGTATTGCTGTTTGTGCTTCTTATGGGAACTACCTAATAGGCCTAACGGCATAAGAGGAGAGTCCCATAGTCTTCGCATGCTACTGACAAAAGGGGAATCAAAACGAGAAGGGAAATTCTATAGCTCCATCTCCTGCCTCAGTACAGTTTAAGGCACCTGTCTAGAGCAAGCTTTTTAAACTGGCTTTCTGCAGCACTAGGGTTCAGGAAGAAGTCACATAGGGGTTTCATAAGAGATCATGGGGGTGGGGGGGAAATAAACATTTATTAACCTTCACCTGCTGTGCAATGCTGGATCACAGTGTGATATTTTTATTTACTGCAATTCAAGCTGCCCACCTGCCACTTTGCTGTTGGTGTCAGCGTTGCAAAAATGTGAATTGTGTAGGTTAGAGGTGAACTGCATTGTGATATAAAAAGGTTGAAAAAGGCTGGCCTAGGAAAATCATTACCTTTTGTATGGAGAGATGGACCTATCTCACTGAAGAATAAGAAAAGAATGAACAAAATTTAATGAAAATATAAATATATTTTAAAATAGCTACCTGTAAAATATTCATTGGAAAAGTTAATAAAGATGTAGAGCAATTCAAAACACAAAAGCATCTGCAAAAAACTTGCAACAGAAAAACACATTTAGGACGGTATAAATTTCTGAGCAATTCACAAGATTGAACTGCTACTAATCTAAAAGCAATTCAGATGCAAAAAACTACCAGTTTGTACAAGAAAAAAATCAAAGTGAGCTTGCATTGAGTAACAACCAGAGGAAAATAAACATAAAAACCTTTAACATAAAAATAATTTTGTGCATTGTTCCTAACTAAACCTGTTGCCTGTTCTTGCCTACTGAAGGTGAAGTCATCTGTGTGTTTTTTTGTTTGTTCTTTATCCTAACTTTTAATTTTCCCCCTCTTAATCAAGAGCCTGGAGGGATTCCCGTTCCTAATTCAGAAAAAAAAATCCCTTCCCTTTTCTACCTGAGTTTTCCAAACTTCCAATCTCTAAAGTCTGCATTTGTACATGACTTCAGGGTGTCAAATTGTCACTTGTGCAGATGTAGTTTGAAAGGATGTCTATTAGGCATAGAGGTAGTTCTCACTTAAATACTTTTTTAGCGACCACTTGAAATTAGAACACTTTTGAAGAAGACCTATGACCAGTTCTCAAAGCTGCAGTTGTCACAGTATCCTGGGGTTACATGATTACCATTTGAGAATTTCATAACCAGAATTTCATAACCAGATTCCAACAAGCAAAGTCAGTGGGGAAGCTGGCAGAAAGTCGCAAGTCGCTGTTATACGATGTTGCGCTGAACAGTCATAGGTGATTTTCTTAACAAGTTGCGTACAGTTACATTATTTACGGTTATGTTGCTTAGCAGTTGCCAGTCCCAATTGCAGTTGGTAAGTAAGAACTACTTGTGTCTTAAATTTTACTGGCTGGTAAGAAAACTCGATTTACAAGACTGTTATATGGATTGCTAAGATATCTGATGTGAGAAATTTTGAACTATCAGAAATGCTACCTATATTAAGTAATATATTTTCCTCATTTTTTTTCAGTCCTCCTCTACCACACAGACGAGCAGATTTGTTTAATCTCAGTAAAGACCAAATGATTAATTTGGCTTATATTTCATCTGTGCCACAAAATGGTATTGAACAAATTCGAATCCATTGGCTGCTGGAACTTATTCAAGCTGAGTAAGTTAAATTCTTTACTCTCTCTCTCATTTGTAGTTTATTTATGTTTGTCTAAGCAACCAAAGAGTTTTTTTGAATTAAAGAAAACTAATTAAGAGATGGCTTGGGAACCATTTGTAAGCCATGCTAGTTTGGACAAAAAACTAGCTTTTCAAAATAAGGATTTCTGATAACAATGTTTCTTGAAATATATTTTTGCAGGAATTCCCAGCATGATTCATAAGGGATCATTTAGAATGTTCTAAAGCATAACATATCAGTTTGCATTGGGTCTGCTTGGTTACTACAAGGGCTACCTAGAAAATGCTTTGGATGACATTTTTGCTTTAAAGGTGATTTTACAGCTGAATAATTAACAGATGTTCTTTGCATGTAATATATCTTGATTATTCAGGGGCATGTATTTTCTTGTGGTCATAAAATCAGAAGTTATCCAGAAGATGTCTATGTAGCCTATCAGAATATACAGTAGTAGAAAGGAATGATACTTCTGTTGTTTCTGAGGAGTGATATGGCTGCTCTGTGGTCACACTGTGGTTTGGCTTTGATGACATAGCAAGAAATAGTGCAAGCCAGACGGATAAAACATGTTAATTAAGATAGAGTCCATCATTCTTCTGTAACCTACAATTTCCAACCTCAAAAGGTGGGTGAGCAAGGTTTGTATTTGGAGAAAGGTGAGTGATGTGAGATGATTACCAAGAAGGTGCTTAGATATATTC